GTAGATATAGTCATTTTTAGCAGAGGTTCCTTGAAACGGAAAAGTTATTTCAAGGTTTCCTTTGTGTTGTAAAGGTTGAGAAAGGCTGTTCTGCCCTAGGCAATACTGCAGAGTAGACCTTTGCCCTCTGTTTGTCTTCTTTTAGGCACAACTTCCACAGTACAGATCCTCGTTAAAGGGTGAATGCAATTTTAGTGCTCTGGATGCCTCCTCACATTAAATGGCAAGTTACAAACTTACATCACCAACTTACAAGCGCATATAGCCTAATTATAGGCAAAGAAGGAGGTGAGCTTACATCTGCACTAATGGGAGGATTCACAAACAGTCACGGATTCATATGCAATCACGGATTGAAGATTAATTAAAGCACTAAGTCACTATTTTTATGTTTTACGGGACTCTGTTTTCACACAATATTAATTAAGTATATATGTATATTTATTTAAAATAATTTTGTTTGAGATTGATATTTTTTCTATGAATAATTATGTATTATTGATTTAGTAATTTTATAATCACAGATCTATATTAATATTATGTATTATTTCGTTTTTTAAGTAAATTAAGTGATTATTATATATGTACTTTGGTCAAAGGATTTAATGTATGTATGTTTAGTTATTTTTTCACTTGTCTATACATGATCATTTGTATTGGGCATGGATAAGTGATCTTAAGTAAGTATTAAGGAGCGCAACACATTATGGCGATATAAGTTATACACAGTGGTAGTTATGTGTTGGGTGTTTGCGATCCAATTATATTAAGGACAGATTTTGTCCAGTTTTGTGCGTTAGGGTGGTCATCTTATTTGGCTCGCAAGATATATAAACATTTTTAAAGTTACAAACTTACCTCTTCCTGCTGCAGAGAGATGTTTGCTTTAGACCAGCAATGGGCAAACTACGGCCGTATACGGTCCGGTGGACCTTTTAATCAGGCCCGCGGAGCTAGGCTCCTCTCACAGTCTGCCCTGAAGACCGGTGTAGCATGAAAATCTGTCTCCTATGAGGATCTGTCCCCCTCGACGTATCTGCGCATGTGCCGGAGATCGCCGATCGGCTGCTAATGCCTGAAACTGGCACATGCGCAGATACGTCGAGGGGGACAGATCCTCATAGGAGACAGATTTTCATGCTACACCGGAACGGTGTGGGAACACGGCGAGAGGAACGCGCGGAGCAAAGGTAAGTGAATTGACACAGGGGGAACTTGGGGACTTAATATGGGGGATGAATTACTATAGGGGGGATGAATTACTATATGGGGGATGAATTACTATATGGGGGATGAATTTAATATGGGGGATGAATTAATATGGGGAATGGGGGGATGATTACTATAGGGGGGATGAATTACTATATGGGGGATGAATTACTATATGGGGGATGAATTACTATGGGGGATGAATTACTATGGGGGATGAATTACTATATGGGGGATGAATTACTATATGGGGGATGAATTACTATATGGGGGATGAATTACTATGGGGGATGAATTACTATATGGGGGATGAATTACTATATACTATATGGGGGATGAATTACTATGGGGGATGAATTACTATGGGGGGATGAATTACTATATGGGGGATGAATTACTATATGGGGGATGAATTACTATGGGGGATGAATTACTATATGGGAGATTAATTACTATGCTTACTATGGGGGAATATTACTATACTTACTATGGATGACACATACACATCATTCATCTACTCTTGGTCCGGCCCCCGGGTCCAATATATGAACCCATTGCGGCCCTCAAGTCAAAAAGTTTGCTCACCCCTGCTTTAGACCCTTACTCATTACAGCCCATTTTTGAAAAACCTCACTGTTAGGTCTACTACTCCTGTGCTTGGGTGGTGCTCTCTCCATTAATTGCAATGAAAAGTCTGTAAGGTGCACTGTGAACACCTTATTGGAGTTGTGAACAGTAAATGTAATTTTGGCTTTCACATGTTTACAAGTTAACTCTTCCATGTTTTCCTTTTACTTTTAAATACAGTTGCAAGAAAAAGTATGTGAACCCCTTGGGATTACGTGGAGTTTTGCATGAATTGGGCATAAAATGTGCTCTGAACCTCATCTAAGTCACAACAATAGAAGAACACAGTCTGCTGAACATAATACTACACAAACATTAGATGTTGCCATGGTTTAATTGCACATAACATGTAAACATTCACAGTGCAGGGAGAAAAAGTATGTGAACCTTTGGACTTAATAACTGGTTAAACGTTTCCTGTAGTTGCAGATCAGACCTGCACAACGATCTGGAGTAATTTTGGACCACTCCTCTTCACAAAACTGTTTCAGTGTAGCAATATTCTTGGGATGTCTGGTGTGAATCGCTCTCTTAAGGTCATGCCACAGCATTTCAATCGGGTTGAGGTCAGGACTCTGACTGGGTCACTCCAGAAGACGCATTCTGTGCTGTTGCAGCCATTGTTTTGTTGAATTACTTGTATGCTTTGGGTCATTGTCCTGTTGCATCACCCATCCTCTGCGGCGCCTCAGTTGGCAGACAGATGGTCGTACGTTTTCCTGCAAAATGTCTTGATAAACTCTGGAATTCATTTTCCCATCAATGACAACAATCCGTCCAGGCCCTGAGGCAGCAAAGCAGCCCCAAACCATGATGCTCCCTCTGCCATGTTTTACAGTGGGGATAAGGTTTTGATGTTGGTGTGCTGTGCCTTTTTTTCTCCACACATAGTGTTGTGTGTTCTTCCCAAACAACTCAATCTTGGTTTCATCTGTCCACAGTATATTTTGCCAGTAGTGCTGTGGAACATCCAGGTGCTCTTTTGCAAACTTCAAACGTGCTGCAATATTCTTTTTGGCTTCCTCCGTGGTGTCCTCCCATGTACTCCATTCTTGTTTAATGTTTTCCTTATTGTAGATGTGTCAACAAAAATGTTAGCATGTGCCAGAGATTTAGGTCTGTAGGTCTTTAGCTGACACTCTGGGATTCTTCTTTACCTCATGCAGCATTCTGCGCTGTGCTCTTGCAGTCATTTTTACAGGACGACCACGCCTAGGGAGAGTAGCAACAGTGCTAAACTTTCTCCATTTGTAGACAGTCTGTCTTACCATGGACAAGTGAACATTAAGGCTTTTGGAGATACTTTTGTAACCCTTTCCAGCTTCATGCAAGTCAACAATTCTTGATGTAGGTCGTAGGTCTTTTCTGCGAGGCATGGTTCACATCAGACAGTGCTTCTTAAAACCAGTAAACCCAAAACAGGTGTGTGTTTTTTAAGGGCAGGACAGCTGTCAGCAACACATCCAATATCATCACACTGATTGGAGTCACGGTTGGCTCATTCCTGGCTCCAATTAGCTCTGGGAGAAGTTATTAAGCTAGGGCCTCACATACTTTTTCCTCCCTGCACTGTGAATGTTTACATGTTATGTGCAATTAAACCATGGCAACATCTAATATTTGTGTAGTATTATGTTCAGCAGACTGTGTTCTTCTATTGTTGTGCCTTAGATGATGTTCAGAGCACATGTCAGGAATGGACTTGCCAGTAATGGTGGGACCCACCTGCCTTGTGGGCTGCAGTACCAGGGCTGGCCAGCGGGTGCTCCCGGCAATCAGAGACTCAACCCTGCAGCCAGCCAAACACCTGAAGTTGATCATGCAGGTGTATTTAAGGGATGGCCAGACCTGCAGTCTCGGCCTTGGTGTGTGTTTTTCCTGGGCCCTGTATCTTGTTCCTTCATCACTGTTCCTGTTCCTGTTCCTGTCCCTGTCCCTGTCCCTGTCTGACTGATTCGTTGCTGACCCTGCCTGATCCGGACCTCTGCTGACTTTTCCTGTTTCATCCCTGGCTTGTGACCCCGACCATTCTCTGCCTGACCCCCTGTACCTACCTGCCCGATTGTTATTGACCCGGCCTGCCTGACGACGCTTGCATTGTATGTACTGTTATCTGTGGGTGGTTTGGTTCGTTTGCACTGTGTTATGTTTTAGTATTGCACTGCGTTTATGTTTGTATTGTTAGTCTTTAATAAATTCTATTGTTTATAACTTATCTGAAGCCTGCGTTTCCCTGCGTCAGTCACATACCTCTGGTCACACCCCGGAGCCCTGACATTACACCAAGGCCAATCCTGACCAGAAGTGGCTGCACAGGGAAGCCATCTTGGCTTATTGTTGCTGGGAAGGATGGATCTGGATGAGGTTGTGTATTTATCTCTGCTAGTGTTTGATGACAGAGAATATGCTTATCAGACTCTGAAGGAGTATCCCAGGGATGAACTACTAGAGTGTATAAGGATCGCTCATGTTCTAGTAGATCAGGGCACAGAATTCTCTGAGGTGCAGCCATTGATTCAGGTTTGTGCTGAGTTGGTTTCATCTGGTACCCCCGAATGCAGGGATGAATTTTTGCCGCCATTTAGTGCCGACCAGGTAGAGTCCCTGGTATGGTTATTAGAGGATGATGTGGATTACTTTCTGGAGCGTTACTCTGCATGTTCACCACAGATACTAAGAGATTGTATATAAACGCAGTGCAGTCATTGACCAGACAGGCTTTGTGTAAACTGAGCTTCGTTCAACCCATACTGCAGACATGGTCAGACTTGTTGCACCCAGCCTCAGTCAGTTTACAACATCATTCCTCCACTCAAGGCATTCTTCCTGCATCCCCGACAGCACCCCCAGTGACTGCCCAGTATACTCTAACTACCACATACCAGTCCTCTGCTCCCACTCGCTGCACCTATCCTTTCTTTAACCCTGTAAAGAAGTCCTCTGTAGCAACTGCTCCCTCCTCTGTTCCATCTTCCAGCTCTTCTCTTTCCTCAGCTGCTCCATTCGTTTGCAGACCTGCGTTTACTTGCAGTGCCCCAGTAGTTAATACCAGAAAAAAGCGGAAATTCTTTCCAACCAGTACCATCCTGCCAGTATCCAAACCGGAGAACCTGCCTTCCGTGGTTCAGCCTGGTGCCTCGGCACCCGCACTTCAGCCTGATGCCTGTACCCAGCCTGATGCCTGTACTCAGCCTGATGCCTGTACCCAGCCTGATGCCTGTACCCAGCCTGATGAACTGATCCAGCCTGATGATCCTATCACGCCTGATGACCCAGTGCCCGCTGTCGAGCCAGACGATCCAATGCCTGATGACCCAGTGCCCGCGGTCATACCTGGTGACCCGATGCCCGCTGTCGAGCCAGACGATCCAATGCCTGATGACCCAGTGCCCGCTGTTATGCCTGGTGACCCGATGCCCGCTGTCGAGCCAGACGATCCAATGTCTGACCCAGTGCCCGTGGTCATGCCAGTTGACTCGGAACCCACTGTCGTGCCTGGTGACTCGGTGCCCACTGCCTTGCCAGATGACGCGGTGCCCGCTGGCGAGCCAAATGACCTGATGCCTGGTGACCCGATGCTCGTTGTCGTGCCTGATGACCCGGCGCCCGCCGCTCCGCCTGGGGGCCTGGCGCCCGCCGCTCCGCCTGGGGCCCCGGCGCCCGTTGCCCCTCCTGGGGGCCCGGTGCCTGCCACCCCTCCTGGGGGCCCGGTGCCTGCCGCTCCGCCTGAGGGCCCAGCGCCCGCCGCTCCGCCTGGGGGCCCGATGCCTGTCGCCCCGCCTGGGGGCTCGATGCCTGTCGCCCCACCTGGGGGCCCGATGCCTGTCGCCCCGCCTGGGGCCCCGGCGCCTGCCACCCCGCCTGGGGACCCGGCGCCTGCCTCCCCGCCTGGGGGCCCGATGCCTATCGCTCCGCCTGGGGACCCGGCGCCTGCCTCCCCGCCTGGGGGCCCGATGCCGCTTCGCCTGGGTGCCTCGGCCCGGAGTCCAGCCCGATGTGCCTCTGCCCGGAGTCCAGCCCGATGTGCCTCTGCCCGGAGTCCTGCCCGATGTGCCGCTGCCCGGAGTCCTGCCCGGTGTGCCGCTGCCCGGAGTCCTGCCCGGTGTGCCTCTGCCCGATGTGCCGCTGCCCGGAGTCCTGCCTGGTGTGCCGCTGCCCGGAGTCCTGCCCGGTGTGCCGCTGCCCGGAATCCTGCTCGATGTGCCTCTGCCCGGTGTGCCGCTGCCCGGAGTCCTGCCCGGTGTGCCGCTGCCCGGAGTCCTGCCCGGTGTGCCGCTGCCTGGAGTCCTGCCCGGTGTGCCGCTGCCCGGAGTCCTGCCCGATGTGCCAGTCTTCGATATCCTGCCAGTTACCAGACCCAGGCGGTAGACCATTTTGCCCAGCTAGGACTGTTTGGAGCGTCCTGAGGCCGCTCCTTGAGGGGGGGGGGGGGGTACTGTCAGGAATGGACTTGCCAGTAATGGTGGGACCCACCTGCCTTGTGGGCTGCAGTACCAGGGCTGGCCAGCGGGTGCTCCCGGCAATCAGAGACTCAACCCTGCAGCCAGCCAAACACCTGAAGTTGATCATGCAGGTGTATTTAAGGGATGGCCAGACCTGCAGTCTCGGCCTTGGTGTGTGTTTTTCCTGGGTCCTGTATCTTGTTCCTGCATCCCTGTTCCTGTTCCTGTCCCTGTCCCTGTCTGACTGATTCGTTGCTGACCCTGCCTGATCCGGACCTCTGCTGACTTCTCCTGTTTCATCCCTGGCTTGTGACCCCGACCATTCTCTGCCTGACCCCCTGTACCTACCTGCCCGATTGTTATTGACCCGGGCCTGCCTGACGACGCTTGCATTGTATGTACTGTTATCTGTGGGTGGTTTGGTTTGGTTCGTTTGCACTGTGTTATGTTTTAGTATTGCACTGCGTTAATGTTTATATTGTTAGTCTTTAATAAATTATATTGTTTATAACTTATCTGAAGCCTGCGTTTCCCTGCGTCAGTCACATACCTCTGGTCACACCCCGGAGCCCTGACAGCACATTTTATGCCCAATTCATGCAAAACTCCACGTAATCCCAAGGGGTTCACATATTTTTTCTTGCAACTGTAAGAAATTTGTAGACTGGCCACTAGAGGGAGCTAGAAAAAGAAGAGTATAATGCCATAATGTGTGCCAGGCTCAAATGTATGATTAGTCACAGCATAGGAAGATAAACCGAAGTGGATTTACTATTAGGCACAATTGGCTTGTGCCTAAAGGTAGCAGGAACAAAAAACTTTTTTTGGGCCACGCATATTTACATAACATTAGTAGAAATAAACATATGTCCTATATACTTACGTATTATTACATATTGTCAATTAATTCTTAGCTAGATGGGCTTTATTAAAGTGGCAACCCTTGCAGATGGATGTAGCTTTGGTTGCTGGAGCTGAGAATTCTGCCCTTGATATCAACATTTATTGGCATTTAGCAAGCACATCAACTAATTCAATTGTCATATTCAACAACTATTCAGCAAATAATGTATTACTTTGCCAGATTTTTGTTGCCCTGTACTGACTTTTTTTGAGACGTGTTGCTGCCATCAATTTCAAAATTACCTATTTTTTTTTTTAAATGGTACACTTTCTCACTTTAAACGTTTGATATATTTTGTATTTTCTATAGCGAATAAAACATTGGTTTATGAGATTTGCTAATTATTGCATTCTGTTTTTATGTAGATTTTATACAACATCACTTTTTTGGAACTGGGGTTGCATTACTATTCAGAGAATATGCAAAGGATGGTCATGAATTTTTACTAAATTATTACTCACAGTTTATTTTTTCCCAAGGTGGGTAGCCATTAAAACCAACACTCAGATAAATGTAAACAAAACCTGTTGATCCTGCCAGAACTCTTTCAACGGGTAACTTTTTGTTCTCTCTGCCTGAGTTGCACTCCTATTTGTTGTTCCCAGCTACCTCCGTGGACTACAGAACACCCCCCATGCTATGGTAGAGGGGGATGTGAACTGTAGTCCAGTCCTAGGGTGACAATGCTGCACCTCCATATATTTATTTATTTCACGTACTTATATAGCGCCGTCAATTTACGCAGTGCTTTACATATATATTGTACATTTACATCAGTCCCTAACCCTCACGGGGCATACAATCTAAGGGCCCTAACTTACATTCATACATCCACTTAATAGGGCCAATTTAGACAGGATCCAATCAACCTACCAGTATGTCTTTGGAGTGTGGGAGGAAACCGGAGTAACCGGAGGAAACCCATGCAGGCACGGGGAGAACATGCAAACTCCAGGCAGGTGGTGCCATGGTTGGGATACTGCACAGTGTGTCACCCTGGGACAGAAAGGGTGTTACTGGTAGAATCATCCGGTCATAATGTATATCAAAATTCTTGGTTTATATACACTTTAAGACCACTTTAACACTTTGGTCCAGAAGGAAAGACCACCCTAGGTCTGTGTACCAGGATCCACCCAAAACTCCAAATGCAGAGGTGCTTGCCCGGCTTGACTCTGGAAACAGCAACAATAGAAGAGAATGGCTGCACACTCTGCTACGATGCGATAATTTATTTACATATTCTCATAAACAAATATCAAAGAGTTCTTGTCACACAGATAAGAGTACAATCAGGAGAGATGTTTCCATAGCGCTTACTCATAACATAAATTTAGAACTTGATTTGGTCTCTTATATACTCGTACACCTCTAAAATCACAGATATGATGACCTTAATCACCTGTAAACTCTTAAGAAGGAAAAAACACAAAAAGCAATGCAGGTGGCACCCACACAGTGTTACCATAAGTGCAATAAAAACACAATTACTAAACATAGTAAAAAAAGGGGGGGAAGGTCCTTTACTTAGTGGGACTTTAGAGGCACAAATTGTAAATTAATAACTGATAAATCAACCATTAAAACATAACACTCAGTTTTATTTGTGCAATCTTAAAAGAGACATAACACATTGAGATACGTGAATTATGGTGGTAATTGTCAACAGATGTGTAACTTAATAATGAAAGGATCATGCGAGTGTTGTGACTGACGCATTTCGAGACTAATCATCCTCTCTTCCTCAGAGGTGTTCAAAGAGGCATGACATCTGTAAAAAGCATACATATTAATATACTTCTTTATTATACAAAGTTTTTTCAAAAAGATTAAAGTATAATAGCACACTTACATAGCCCCATATAGGGCAGAGGAAGTACACATGGACCGCCAAGAAGCCTAAAAAGTATTGATTCACATAATGCAGCAGAGAATACTCATGGAGCTCTCACAGCAAGGATGGTGATATAGTGCAAAGAAGGAAGGACAGGGAGGGCTGCCCAAGCGTCTCCTGGAGGAACCCCGTCCAAGCACATCAATGGCGGACCCGCTGTGGTCCGCACAGAGAAGCAGACGGTACAATGCTGAGCTGGAATGCATAATGGCACGCATATAAAAATAATGAAAACAGTCATAGTGCACCAAAACATCACTGATTAAATGTAATGCCAAATCCACTTACTGAGAAGGACCAAAAGAAAGACAGGTGGCTTAGCTTCAAAAAATCCAAAAGGGGATTTACCAAGGAAAGAAAGGGGACCACTTAATGGGTCAGTTACCTATAACAAAAAAGTTTTTGGACAAAAACGTTCAAGAAAGTAATCAATGAAAATTGTCAAAATATGCCTTTAAATGTCATTAAATTGGTCATTACTAAACATAAGCCTGAAAAACATCTTATATAATGAACAAAAAGCAAAAATGTTAAATAAAGTGCTAATTTTATGTTATGAATAAGCACTATGTAAGTGTGGAACACATCAACATCTCTCCTGATTGTACTTTTATCTGTTTGCCAAGAACTCTGATATTTGTTTATCATGTCCTAGCAGAGTGTGCGGCCATTCTCTTCTATTATCACTTTAACACTTTGCAATTCTTTTTTGATTCTCTGGGTTAAACTTTAATAACTGGAAAACTTGCACAGTATTTATTCTTCTTACCCTTCTCTTTGTGACAAGTCCACTTTAGCTTTTACAAAACACATATGAACATAACAAGGCTTAAAAAATATATATATATAAAAGTACATAATAAATAAGTGTGAAAATTATAATTTAAAACGGTGCAGCACTCTGTTGGTTGAAATCATGATAATCCAGACAATGATATTGTGATATGCTAGTGGCTGTTTAGTATCGCTTTTATAGAATAGGAAGCAGGGAGGTTTTTCTGTACAACAAAAGAGCATAATGATGTAACCCTCAAAAAAAACAATTTAATGTGATGACTCACTGATCCAACTAAATTTATATGGAAGATAATTGGTTGTTCTGTGTCTCTCCTCTTGGCACATTGCATTGCTTTACTGAATGAGTCTGATGATCTCATTATTTGAAAATATTATTAGTAATGTATTTCTTTAACTCAGTTTGAATTTTAGCTCCCTTGAACCTTTAACAGATCCCATTCAGAAAGTTTCCCATATTGTATAAACACATTAGCTGCATCTGGCTGTATAATCACATTGACTTACCCTGTAGATTGCCTCTTTTGCTGATTACAG